GGGAGCGGGTGTTTGGTTGTTCTTTGGGGTTTTTTTTTCAATTTACTAAGTGAAATCTGACATAGGACTGTGGTAAAACCACAGCATGTTCTGATACACAGACATAAAACTGTCAAGTTGTACACAGACAGTGAAGGCTGATGCCCTGGTTCTCCTGACTGACATTTAGGAAAACAAATATTTTATTTTCAAGTGGAGTGAGATCTTTAAAATCGGCAAGGCAAACCTATCAAGTTGTGTGGGGATTTTTTCCTAACAGCATTGCAATTCCAAAATATTAATGATGATGGTTTTTTTTTAAAAATCCAAATACAAGATTGTGAAGTAATACATGAAGAATTGTGTAAAGAACTTGGGTTCCAAAGATTCTTGATGTTGTTGGCTATAGAAACTTTGCATGAAGTCTCAAGTACTTAGTGGATTTTATATTTTTTAAGAACCCCTATCAGTGAGTATCCTAGGGTAACAGTCAGGATATTTGAAAAAGTTGGTAATTTCTTTAATATTAATAAGTTGGGTTTTGAACTAAAGTGAACAAATATCCCAAGAAATGACAGACCTGCTGATTAGGTAGACACCAAGAAAACCTCTTACAGTCTCATAGATGGTTAGGCACAGTTGTTATCTAACAGTAAATGAGTGTGTTGCTCTCTGTCCGACTGGTGACTGTAACCAGGAGCAGAGCACACTTCAGAGCACAGCCCAGTCCTTTCTGCCCTCGAACTGTTAAACTCCAGGAGAAAAAACCCACAAACATTTAATACAAAAAATAACATTGTAGCACGAGGTTAAATTTCACTGACATCCCTGTGGAGGCCAGCACTGTGTAGCAATGCTACAGAAACAAAGTTGAGAAGCAGTGACCCTCAAAAACAGGTTGCAAGTTGTCCTTTCCAGCGTCCCTGTAGGTGAGCGACAAAGCCAGACCTGCCTGGCAGTGGGTACCACTGTGGTACCTTCTTTGTGGTATCTTCTTGTTTTGATCTTTCATAGAGGTTTCATTGACTGGGAAATGTTGCACAGATCTCCTCTGAAGAGCTGCTTTCGTTTCAGTTGCTTTAGAAGTCAGCATCCGCAGAAATACTGAAAGAATTATTCATAGTGCAGCCTTTTCCTGACAAAAACAACTCCTAAAATAGTGGTTGAAGTACAATATGAAAACTGTCCTAATCATCTAAAAATTAATCAAAATTATTTCTGAATATTATTTACTTAGAGATCTCTAAATATGATATATTTCAGAAACAGATCCTTCAACAAATGTCAAACTTGCCCTAAAATTTGCAGCATTTAAAATGAACACAATATTTGAATAGGAACCAACTGAATCAAATGAGAAATTCATAAAAAGGCATTAAAAAGCATTCCTCATTTTACTAGTTTGCAGTGGATTGGCAGTAATAATGCTGTCAGTGTAGCAAGTATTCTAAAAAAGGATATGGTGAAAGAAATGGATGGAGGGAGAGTAAAAAGAATACCTTTGTATGAGACTGCTTTGTAGTCTTGTCCTACCGAGAATTTGTTGTCCATAAGGTTATAAATATTTAATTTTGGGCTCCTGATTTTTTTAGCAGTGGTGCTGTTACTCGGTTAGTCCAGTTTTCCTGTTCACATTTACCTGAAAATATACAACCTGGAAAAGCTGCCAGCCTGCTGCTGTTCAGAGCTTGCCAAATGTTCTCTGCTTATTCTCAGCTTTTTTTAAAAATATATTTAAGAAGAATAATTTCTTCCAGACATTCTGTTAGGATACAAAATACAACCACATTTTCATAGAGGTTTTACTGACTATCATGTGAAGTGAAATTTTAGCCGAGTATTTAGCTGTCTAGGAATCTCTGTGCAACATCAACAAAGTTAGTTTCTCAAGGGTTTTGACATAAAATTTGATGGATATTTCCCTAATAACCCATTTGTTTCTTTAGATACTAATAAATAAAAATTCCTACACAAATATACCAGATTCCCT